AGTCCTACAAAAAATATCAGCAGGTGATAGTGGTTTATTATTTATTTGGATTATGATAGGGCCGAATAGCTATGGATCATGGCCTCACAGTTGTAGGCACTATATGAAAAGTAGGCCGAGGCAAGCTGTCATGATTATTGCTGCAATTATCGCAAATTTGATCTTTTGGCACTCACATTACTGAAATTACCGAAAAGAAAGGGTCCTTGAGCCGCAGTGAGAGCTCTTGTTCATGAGGACTCCTAGGAATTTGCTTTTCCCTAATGCAGCCAAGAGTTGCCCATTAAGCTGAAACCACTCAGGATTCACAAGGTTCAACAAGTTGCTCTGCTCCCCACAAGTACCAAGGCAGCCAGACACAAGAAGCAAATACTGCTCTCCAGCACTTTGTGCAGACGTCTGCTTGGACCCTGTAGCAGATATGGACCAGGCAATGGTATCTACACATATGCCTCCTTCCTGCAGGCAGCTTGCTCTTAAAAGAGATATAAAAGATATTCTTCATCCTTTCTCCCTCCCCAATTCAGCCTTCATAAACACTCCTGACATTCAAAGCGGCAAAAGAGGAGCCATATGAAAGGCTCCTTCAGGAAGCAACCTTCTGACCTTAGTCTTCTGTGCCCTAGAAAAGATCCTGTTGYAGGCACAGCTGGCTGATCCTCCACCATATGCGCAGATGTGCGGTATGTCTTTGGTACCCACCGAGCACATGGAGACATCTGTGCCCCAAGCTGACCYGAAGCAGGAGCTCTAAAATAAAGGGAAATCTTCAAATGCAAAGACAGCAGAGAGAAACTATCTGATAAATCGGTTGAGAAAGGGTGGAAGGAAAGGATTTTTAAAGCAGTAGTTAAGGACTTAGCTATATTATTCCTGATGTTATTATTAAAGGCCACATGCACACATTCCTGTGTGCCATCTGCAGCGGACAGATGCGCATCACAGTGATGACCGGCCTCGGAAGCTCTCAGGGTTCTGCTGGTAATTTGCCAGTGGCCTAAAAGACTGCACCAAATTTGCATGATGCTTAAAATAAATACTCAGCAGGCCCTGATATTTTTTCATATGTAACTTACAAACGAATGGAAATCGTTCTTCTCTTGGGYTTCAACACCAAAAGAAACCCCTCGTTGGTGTCTTCCTCCTAAAGTAGCTTTCCAGTTTGTACAAAGCAATTTGTAGAGAAACAGATGTGACCTCCTCAAAATCTAAACAATTTCCCAAGCCTCTAATATTACAGCAGTGGCATGTGCCATCTTAGCCCTGAGTCCTTCTCAATTATCAGTCAGAGAGATGAACAACTAATAAAAAATCCTGACTCGTGAGCAACAAATACCTGAAACCTGGTGAAAACTGCAGGGTTTGGAGGTGAGCAGGCACCGCCACCGGTCTGCAACCACACAGACCCCAACCCTGCCAGGGAAAGGTGATGCACATTCTACAAAATTTAACATTATCTACCCTGCTTGTAATTTGTAAGTATTCTACTGTATRTCCTTATGTTGGGCACGCACTGTCTTCAGGTAAGCTAGACACATGCTGTACAGGCCTTAGTGTATTWCAAGTTTGTGATACACTGTCCATAGAGGTTTCCTTTTATTTTCAGTCTCAAGAGAAGGTCACTTCATGGAAGGCACCTGAGACCAACTGCAGGCTGCCAGCACCACCAGCTCTCTCCCTGGGAACGCAGCGAGGCCCGGCAGGGCTTCAACAGTGATAGYAAAAAAGCACCCGGGCGCGTGGCGGGGGATAAGAGACTGCACCGCCGCCTGAAATGCAAACCCTGCTTGTAGAAGTTCTTCTTGACATCAGACAGATGGCTGCAGAGCGGGAGCCCGGGGGCCTCTTGGAAGGTTCGATGTTGAGGGGATGAAGGGCTCCTTCACGGCACTCTCCCCTTATGTCCACTTTCCTAATGGGTCTCTCCGTTTCCTGACCCAGCCGGGGGGACAGATGCTTCCGAGCCGAAGTGGCAACACAGAATAAACTGCGTCGCCAACAGAAGGGCCCTTTCACTGAAGCAAGATTAAGATACAGAAGCAGCTATAAGAATAACCAAAGAAATCCTTTCATGTGTCCTGAGGGTGCGCTCAGACCTACCAGCTGTCCTCCAGAAATGAGGAGCAACCTGGGAAACCAGCTGCCTGAGCGCTCATCTAGGCCTCCTGGTCACTAATCGGCACCATCTCGCCACCTTCATCACCAGCGATCCGAGCCGCAGCACAAGGTGCAYGGCCAGGGACACCAGCGCTGCCGACTTCAGGCTGTTCTCGGTTACCTGCTTTAGTGGTCTAATCCATCCGAATAAATCCAAGCTAAGATGTTACGGCTTTTGCATTTAGTAGCACAAATTTCAGGGAATAAATAATATCTATTTAAGTAAAAAAGCATGGCCCAGTTAAATTATTAAAATCTAATGGTAGACATTTTTTGATGTTCTCTAGCTAAAATACATCCTTTTTTACTATTTATATAGTATGCAAGGTATATTAATAGCTAAGTGATGTTCCATCTGCATATAAAGTGCTTGCCTCAGAATGCTTACAGCGTAATTACATCCATACATTAATGATGGTGGAAGGCTGTAAGAAACGAAAAGCAACATGGCAGTGAAAATGAGCAGTTGTGCTGAGCCTGAGGTTTTGCTTCCAGGGATTCAAACAGGAAAGGCTGCAGCAGTTAACCATGGTAGGTGAAGGAGATTTCCAAGCACAGGGAAACAGTGGAGAAAGRCCAGAATTTCTTGTCCAGAGGCTGAACAAATTCCTTGGTGCCCCCCTCTGCATTGTGATCAGCATAAACCTTGGGATGTAACTACGTCTAGCACAGCATGGTTGGGAGGAGGCAGCACTCCCATGCACTGAGAATCTACTATGCATTTAAGTAATACAGCAATCAAGAACTAAAAATCTGTATTTTGTTGCTTTTCAGCAACTCTTTTGCAAAGACAGTGGAATACGCCACTGTGATGTTGGTTAAATGAATCAACATGCTAAGATGTTCACTGAGTTCAGCGCAAGATGCACTGAATGCAACCCATGCTTATGCTGGAACTCCAAACATCTACTCTGACCATGCTACAGAGCAGTGCACGTTGCCTACATTACCAAATTACTACATTACCAAATTACTCTGAAGAAGCTGTGGCAGCTCAGAAAGATCCCCTTATGGACTTGCAATTCTCGGCCAAATTAAATTAACTTAATAGAATATTTGTGCTCTGCACAGAGAGCTCCAAGTGACATTCACTAACTGCTATAGTGCCCACTGCATCGTTGCTATTCTTACAGGGATCAGCATGCAAACATATGCCTTACAGTCACTATTTAAAGCAGAAATCCATATGCAAGTTTATGCAAACACACTGTAAAATCTCTACTCCAACGCATTAGGAGATATATGGTGATAGAGTGGTGGGAATCAAGGTTTACTTCTCTCAGTTCTTTCTTGCATGTTAACACATCATTCAGACCTTGGCTTCTCATGCTTTTCAAAGACAGTGACTATTTACATACACAAATGAAAGAGATGTTAATTAAAACATCGCCTTGCATAATCAGTGCTAAAAATACTTTATAGGTTAATTAGACTTCATGCAAATTGGATAAAGAAGATTTAGTTTCATTTTTGATAACACGAGTATTATTGTTCTGCAGAGGCAAATACACTTAAAATTACACACTGATTCTCAAGCCAGGTTTTCCCTTTCAAATGTATTTTTATACCTTCTGGTAGACCCAAGTGATTTAGTTTCCTTTTCCCTTTATGGCCCCTAWCCCCCTCCTGCAATCTCATCCACTGAAAGCCTCATGGATGGCAATGATATCAAGTGTAAAAGCATTGAATCAGAGAGCTGCTCCTGACAAGAGACGTCTCCGCACTTCACAGAGTCTAATATTTACAATGGATACAAGGYAAACCCAGGTTCCCCAGGCCTGCAACAGTGCAAAGCAGCTGCATGGGCAAGCACTAACCACCATCTGCTGCAGATTTTATGATACTCTTTAAAGAGCCTTGGTCTGAGGCTAATAACCAAGTGCAGAGCGGGTGCTGCACAGATCTATACAATGAAAATGCTCTGCATGGACTAATGCACAGGAGTGTTGTGCGAATTCATTAAGATGACGCCCAGGGAGAGCCAAATGATTTCCACTAAAACCAACATTACGCGCCTTCATTATCCGTCCTGAAAGACAATCAGACTTACTGAAAAATCACTGGCATATGCCTTAATGCTAGGGGAACAAAAACAACTCCCAGTAAAAACACATCAAATGGGCACGGAGCCACAGGCAGGCGGCTCACACCAGTGCTCCAGCTGCTATCAGCAGCAAATGTAGCCTTCCTCTCTGCCCCTAAAAGCAAGAAACTGGCCACTAGATACTTAGGGAACAGCCAAATGGGCCAGAAAAGAGACCTCCTCCAAAGCCCAGAAAGCTGAACTCAGCAGCAGAGCAGGATTTATATCACGTACTGGCTAGCAAATGAATCTCAAGTTCTGGAAGAAGCARCTCATTACAAAAGTAGATTCTTTTATATTACATACAAGGCAATAAATACTGAAAGMCTTGAATAATGCCCCTGCACCAAGCTGAGCAGTTACAAGTCCTACTGAGGAAGAATTACTTGATGTCTGGACGAACCAATCACAGAGGCTGTGGTATCTTCGGAGAAACAAGGTCAAAACTATTACTACATTCAGCAAAAACCTTTAAAATTAGAGACATTCATATTCATGCCAAAATGCCCTCCCTCCCCCTAATCTATGCCTATTCTATTCATTTTGAAATTGGAGCTGATGAATTTTATTACCTGCAAAGTGAGATGCCCTGCTATAGATCAGCAGATGGTACTGTACTTAGCATAAGTGTCTCCAGATTTCCAGGCTAGAGGTTTAATAGTTACGAGTAGTGGTTAATATGAGCCCTAAGTCTTTCAACCAATGAGTGGTATCATGGATATAAATGAGTTTAATGTGCCGAGAATATGAGTTTTCATACCTGTTCCTTGAACTTGGTGCTATCCTCTGACAAATAACTGTGCTGGTCGAATGCTTCCCACCGTTCCCCACCTCCTGTTTCACGTCCCATTGCCGGGGATCACTTGTCTTGGCACCGAGGATGTTTACGCCTTTTTTCACCTTTGCCCTGTTGCAAACAGAAATTGTAAAAAGTTTAGAAGTGAGTAAATTCAAGTCTGTGATTTTCATAATGTAGCTCAGGCATGGAAAATTCAATATATCCGTAAAGCTAAGTATTAGAGATGTTTTTAATCCACAAGCAAATAAAAGGAGTGATATCATGAATACAGACCTAAGGCAAAGTGTTACTTTTTGGAGAGCATCAGCTCATTTTGTGCCTTTAGATCTTCCAACAACAGCAGGCTATGTTTGTGATAAAGACCTCGTTTGTAGGAAAACCTGCCCTCAAGGTTCTTTTCTCTTCTGGCAATAATTTCTATCAAATAAACATCTGTTCCAGTTTAGAAGACTCAATAACGTTCTGCTCATCTGCAGAAAGACAGCCTAGTACTTGACTACCACACGGAGGAATATTTTGCTGAGATTTTTAAAAACAATCTATTTATATAGCCAAGAAGATATTATTGGGTATCAGTGGACCGGTTCATTTTGTTGCTTATCTACCTAACAATTCCTTCTTAGTGACAGCATCCCAAGGAAACCAAATCTCTAATTGAAATTTGAGGCCAGGAGAGCATATGGCTATTGACTGAAACAGGGGTTTGTAACTTAGTGATGTTCTTACAGGATGCAAATTTCTGTCATTATTAGTTGTTATCTATCATGGAAAAGTTAACTGTATTTATCCAGTGATGCTAACAACATCAGCAACGACTGTATGGAGGCATAATTAAAGAACATTTGCTTAATTAAGGAGCATTTGTATTAAGAACTACCAGCAAAGATGCGATTTGGATGCAGACTGTTTAACTCCTTATCGTAAGATCTATTACAAAGCATCAGGCATGAGAAATGGGGAGATAATTGTACAGGTTTCCTCTTGGAAGGACACCGAGGAACCAACTTCTGCCTGGGATGTGCCCAGTGGGACGGAGGGAGGAGGTATCACAGCATGGTCCATGTGGCCTCTAATCAGCAGCGACTGACTGCACCACAGCAAAGCATGGTGAAAAATCGTAATTTTCTAAAACATTTCTGCAACCCACTATTTTAGTTATTGAGAAGAAAACGAACAATTACAGAGATGTTGGGCTCTTTTTGAAATCTATAAGGATTTGGCACCTAAGTCTATTAGAAAGTCCAGCCTTTTTGCATCTTTTGATACATAAACACTTGAAAAAACGCTCGTCATAAATAAGTCAAGAGGGCTCACTTTTCTTCCTGACACAGTCTTTTTAACACTGACACAAAACACAATTAATTTAAGGCATTCGAGAGGAAAACAAGTTTTTTTCTCTCGATATAGTAGCAAAGTGCTAAATCCTCTCCCTTGAAACACAGAACACCACAGAGCTTCACCAGTTACAGTCTTGCTCTGGTAGAACTGCTACAAACCCAATGTATCTCCACTGCCTTCAGATCAATTACTCAGAAATGAAATCAGAAAAAGCAAAGAGAGAATCTAATCCATTACTGAAGGTTCATTAAAGCATTAAGCCCCATTAACTTTTCCAGCACACTAATAGTTTAAATAAATGAATAATATAAATACATTTCATTAGTATGAAAACACTACTATTGTTCCTGAAATTTGTATAATGGCATAAGCTTGAATTTGGTAGTATATATGAAATGCTTCTATTACTGTAATTATTTAGCCATTAGAGATAAATAAAAACTGATTATTTGGACACCTTGCAGTGCTGCAGTGCCCTTAAGATGGGTTTTGAAATGACATAACACCATCAGAAACAGGGACCTCGGGTTAAATTTTGACCAGAATTACAATTTCTTCAGCAGATGCAAACTGCTCTTTCCACCACGTAGCTTGACATAGTCAATACCTGGGCTCCTGTTAATTAGGATGGACATTTTGTATGGYCAATGTTAGCGGCAAAATTCACTGCCAGAGGATGATAGACCACAGCTTCAACACCATTTTGTTAATTAACTACAATATGGGACATTAAGTTGAGTGGTTTTCACATATGCCATTATATAATGCCCATTAAAAAAAAAAAAATCTATCTCAGGGTAAAGTAGGTTATGTTTAGTGAGAAAAATCAATGTTGTGATTGCACTTAGTACTGGAATTAGGGTATGAACACCCAGAAGATTGAACTTCCTAAATAAATATGCAGAAGTACAATTTGCAACTCTCCCTCTGAAAAGGGCACAGAGTTTTATATAACAAGGTCAATGGATGCATCAGAATAAAGCTGAGCCCCATGCATTTTTAAATGCAGTCTGTGCCCATATGCATGAATGTTTTCACTTAAATTTTTATTTGCCTAATGTTTGCTAGCAAGGAAAAGTCTATTTAATTCTTTTCCAAAGATTTGTTGACCTTGTTGTATGYCTGTGATTAAATATTAATTTTCAAATGAATAATGACAACTTTGTATATAAAAATGTGTAAGTTACAGTTCCTCAATAAACCTTGAGACCAAAGATTTGGAGGCCAAATTGCTTGACTGCCTCCTCTATTTACCCATTTAACTGATGCAGTCTCTGTCCTTTCATCCTATTTATTTCAGRGGGGAGGTGTATGGTGACAATAAATGGAGATATCAAACAGCTGAAATGCTCCAGGTTTAGCACAAGGTTCCCCACYCCACCTGGAAAATTCTCCCCATTCCAAGGCTGATAGTGAGGGGAGATGCCTGCGCTGGCCACATTTCCCTAGCTCCAGTGGAAGTGACTTCGGATGCCAAGCCATGGAGCTGGGATCTGCTGGGGAAGTTACTCCAGCGYGGTCTCAGGGGCATCAAACCCTCAAATTTAGCTAATTCAACTCTGCTTTGTATTTTTCAATCCTTCTCTGTTCTCCACTTCTTTGGGCATCCCCTGTTCACCAACRTACTGCTCTGCTGATGGTTAGAAATGGGTTGAGGGTCTAAGCAAAAGGGCGTCCTCCCAAAGAAGCTTTTCTAGGAGTCAAAATCCCCATCTCCGACATTATTCCACTGCTGCTTTTTCTGTGTGTATCACTAAACACTCTTCATGGAGGTAACATTAACCAGCACTAACCAGGTCAGTCTATTGAACAGCAATAAAAACCAGTCCCTTTCCCTTGCCTAGGTCTCAGCACAGACCTTRCTACACAACCCTCCTATACACGCACAGGACTTCAAGGGCTGTTTATTTATGTGAATTTGATGGTCTGCATGCTGAAAGTTAAGCACAGGTTTTGCTCTTGCAGAGCTTGCAATGGAAAGATGAAAGGAARTATCTGCAAAAGAGGAGCAGGGAAGGGCAGCCCCAAAACCAAGAGCTTGGGGCTTGGCGAACACATGGCAGCCAGGACAGGGAGGGACATTCTTGCTTGAACCGCTGAGGTTATTAATTCACAGGGCAGGAAATCTCTGCTCAGCTTTGTCTCCCAATAACCAGGCAACTTCTCCATCTTTCTTTAATTCTCTCAAAGGGAGAAGATAAAATTTTTGCTGGCGTGCAGAACAAGCAGCATCTCAAAGACGTTGCAGAAAAAAAAGTCTCCTGAGGCTCACCTAGAAACTGCTACGTTTTGTCAAAACTAAGTAAAAATATATTTACTTGTTTTGAAAGTCTCCTAATAACTGCATTTGTGGAAATTCACAGTTTCCAAACAAACATTCTATTTCCAAATTGAAGCAATTTTATGTGAACATTTTAATTTAGCACCTTATCTAATGTACACAACCTAGAAATGATACCTCTAATTAATCCTTTCCAATCAGCTACAGAAGAAAATCCAGCTGTTCCATTTTTCTATCCTCAAATTACAAGAAGTCTCAGTATTGTTTAAAAATAACACTCAACAGACTAGAAAGGCAGGAACAGAAAAGCAAGAATCAGCAAGAGCCAGAACKGAAGAGGTGATTTGTGATTGCAGGAGTCTCTGAAGTGCAAATTGTAGTTTCCTATTTAAATTTAGATTTGGTCTCCCTGTTTATGGCCATGCAAGGGTCCTACCACCTGCAGCAGTTTGTTGCACGGGGGCAGGAGGCCGAGCACCTCGCACAGGCCTTTGCCTGCTGCACGCTTTCACTGACAGGGGCTAATCCGAGTTGGCATCACCTCTAGTTCCAGAGAAAGTGACTCCCAAAACACACATCCCAGGAGCGGCTTTGGGACTTGGCATAAACCCTAAGCTGGGAACAGGCTGCTTTTAGAGCTCACTGCATCACCCAGGCGCTCTCGTCAGTTCACAGCTGGTATCCAAGCTGCTGTGCAGGAAAATTTTTCTTTAGGAAGTTTCTAAATGTAAATGTTAGAAATAGATGTCGGTCCAGGCGAACTTGAGGGGGCAGCTCTTCTCTAAGGCAGTTCCTGGGCTGCATGAGCTGAGCATAGGCRAGATGCACATGCCATGACGGGGCAGAGAGAGGAGGATGCTGCTGCTAAAGCATCTGCATTTCCGCATGCAAATCCCTGTCTATCTGTACTTGCCAAGTTGATGCTTCAACTTAACAAACACTGACCCCTTTTGGTCAGTCTTCTCCAGTGCCTCGAGGTTTCTGGCAAATATCTGCTAACCCTCGCCGAGGTGCCCGGCCCAGGGAAGCACTTGGCACTGCTGATTCTAAAGGCCGCGTTGTAGGAAACTATTTTACTGCAGCTCCCGAAACCCAGAGAGCCTCTCCTGGTGGCTCTTCCTGGGCTGCACTTTACAGTAAGTCTCCAACCTTCCCAAGCTCTGCCAAAAACATTTCAACTTCTTCCTGCCATGATTTAAGTCCATTCCTTCCCTTCTTTGTTCCCAGAGTAAATCAGGAGATTAAAGCCAGCTGCAGGAACCCATAAAACCCAGGCAGGAGACTACCACTGCAATTAGGCAAGATTTGTTTTATTAAGTAAGTCTTTTTTCCTTTCATTTTTCTCTGCGTAATGAGTTGGTAGATCTCACCACAGATCTGAGCAAGCAGGGGACATCTGCCTCAACAAAACAATCCATTAAAGGCCTCATTGCTGATTTTAGTTTTCTTATTCTTCTAGAGTTAAGACACRGCTAATCATTCCCAAAAG